AAAAAAAAAAAAATTACCCCCCCCCCCCCCCCCAAAGTCTTGTGCATGGAGCTGGCTGCAATTTAACAAAATATTGACATCTGATGAGATCATCATCAATATATTTAATGAGCCATGAGTTCAATTAGAGCTCATTGAATAATTCTCAATGAATATCTTGTCTGACTAGTTGAAACTTCTTTTATATCTATGAGAAGATTATGGTTTTCTCTTTTTTTCATTTTTTTTAACTTTTGATTAAATGTGTTAAAATTATTTTACCCAAGAACTGGTCGTGGTTTACTATGAGTGTCTGATATTTGAGATTTGTCAGTCAAGATATGTTGCTGCATGTGGCTTTGAAATTAACTTTCTATAAACACATGTGCCAATACAATGCATTTAAACATGAGAGAAAATGAATACAGCTGAGTAAGGCATCAAAATAATTTAAACTTTTAGTTCAATAATTACATCAAATTCCCTCCCCTCCCCCAGTCCTAAAATCACTATATGCTAATTGTTACACACATTGTGGATCATAAACAACAAGAAATTATTATTATAATAATGTTTTAAATATTAAAATATATATTCTGAGAGGGAAATGTAGTTAGAGACAGGGAACAACTATTATTGCTGTCTGATGAATGAATTGGGAAATAAAGATTTGCAAATATAAGCTGATTAACTGAATCATGAGTTGAGGACCTCTGAGCCAAACAGAATGCAGTTATTGCATGTGAGGTATAACTGGTTAATATTAGATTAGCACCCATTTGGCAAATAATTATTAAATGTTATTATTCCTAACCTCTATATCGTTAGAAATTAATATTCACTGGATGTCTGATTTCAAATACATCCTAATAGCACCTTTCTACAGTGTACATAGCAGATATAGGTACTCCAATTCTCTTTCTTATACTGTTTTATAGCAAAAAATTAATGACCAAAGGTTTGGTCATAAATTATGATGTAAACATTTTATACCACAAGAGCTGGTACATTTTGGGCATAAAATGGGGTTAGCAACACATACTAGGTTTAAGAGTATTGTCTGATGACTGAAAGCTTAGCCGGACCTACACTTGAAATTTAAAAGACCAAATTAAAATAACAATGCATCTTGCACAAGAATGCAAGATTGTGACTGGAACCATGTGAAATGAAGCTATCCCAATTGATTGAATCTACTGTGCTAGTTGCAAATGTACCCAATGTTTCATTATGCTAAACCATTCATAAATAACTGCATTTCCCTGTGTGACTGTGGCCTTCTTGTTGACACCTCCTCCCAAGACATATTTCTCTGAACTCACATGCAATATCTGTTTGAGGTTTTGCAAATATCACCACAGCCCATCACCAGTTCATAACATTTTGAGTTCTGCCCTACTGTTAAAACAACTATCTAAAACAGTGTCCTGTAACCAATGACCCAAGGTGTCCCATCCAGTCTATCAAGACCCATCCCATTTGATTGAAGTTTAAGCTCTGGACTGATCAAAAGCTTGCCAAAACAAGTTTCACAACTGGATGACCCAAAACAGGACCCAAGCAGTTAGCTATTGTAGTATGATGGTCCCTCCCTACCTGCTTTGTTTGGACTTTAATCAACGAACTATCAGAAAGGAATGCTTTGAAGTTATACAATTGAAGAGTTTAAGAATGAAACAGAGTTGCGGGCAAAATGCCCGCTCCAGGAGAGCAAAAGAAATCACTGCAACACTATAACTTGCACCCAGCTGATCACTCTAGGTGACAGATGCATGCCCAGTGAAGGCTGTAAAGACTGAAACCATTTCCTGCCTACACTAATGAGAGACACTATTGCAGCTAACATATACTAGGACTTGTGGTAGTTCATTGTCATGGGTTAGGGTCCCCAGGATTGACTGTGACACCCCTGGTGGCTCCGCAAGCATGCCAGCTCCACCCTGAGGGTGCCCTATTGTCTCATCTGCCATGTCTTGATGGTAAAATACCTCCAGTACAAACAAGAACACAAACATAAGCCCTTAGGCTATAATGTAACAGTAACAATGGAGAAGTTGTTTTGTCACTTTAAGGCGGCAAACTTCCCCCACTAGGAGAGTGTGCCTCCTAGCCCTGGGTATCTTTTGGGTTCCTGGTGCCTTAAGGCCTTAAGGCTCCTGTAGGTAGCAAATCAGGCCACCACCCATCTCTGGGTAGTTGTCTCAGGAAGGAGCTCCTTCCATTGGCAGTTGCCAGAGAACAAACCCCTGCCAGCCCCAGCCTTAGGCTTGTGTGTGTCCAGGGCCCTGCCTCCTTCCAGTCAGCTGACTGCCTACAGGCGCCAGCTAATTACCTCATTAGCCTGTTGCTCAGGCAACCTGCAGCTGTGGTGCTCTACCTAGCCTGCAGGGCTTCCTGCCTAGGCTGCTTCTGTCCTTACAGGATCAGGCACATCTTAGTGCCCTGTGACATTCACTTACTGAATATTGGGAAGGGGTCTTTTCTGTCATTTAGTTTTATAGCTCATTTATGGTATAGTTATTAAACTATTATTAAACTATTATTAGGGTATAGCTATTAAATGAATAAGATGTCATGTCAATCATTATCTGCACTAGGTTTGGATCTCACTTTTGACTGAAATACCCCTGATGGTAGAAAGCTTGGTGACTGCTATGACATCCTCCACATGGTAATGCATCCTCCGTGTGGTATGCAGGTAATTTTTGTGTATATTTTACTTAATGTTTTCATTGAGGATTACTACAACTGAAAGAAGTTAACAAAGAGGCATTTAGGAAGTATTACAATCTGTCTAGTGACTTGGGCACAAATACAAAAAATAGAAAGCTAGTTTTCTATTCACAGATAGTCTACTGATCTACTACAACACCTTGGCCAAGTCATTTCAATTCTCTATGCACTCCTTTGCCTTGCAGCTTTTTACCAGCCTGACCATTTCAATTTGTACAAAATGGTCTTTTCTGAGACCAAAAGACAATATAAAAGGGGGTGGGAGGGGGGAGGGGAGTTATTATGTTTTCTTCTCAGATGGAAAAAATATATTTAAATGTCACTTATCTGCATAGTCAGAGTCACTGCTTGTTGCTGATCTTTATAGTCATTAGTATGAATTCACTTGCATATGCTGCAGCGAGGAACAGCATATTCACACATCTGCAACTCCTATAAGATAGTATTTAACAGGAATACAGAGACAGTGCTATTGTTCTTTTTTCCTACAGCCCTTCAAAAGCTAGGGGACAATGGTATCTTGAAAGGAGAGGCACTCTGTAAAAGAAGATCTTTTTTTTTAAAGTGTGTTACCTGCTACTGTATCTTCCAAGTATTTAAAACATTCTCTGATGCAGCCACTCAGAAAGCTGAAATAGAATTGTTCTAAATTAAAATAGTGCGACTAGCATACACCTGGAAACTGCAACACTGCAAATGCTGTTTTTCCACTAAGCTACCTCAACATATTTCCTAACAAAATTACTGCAATGAAAAAATACATTTTGTAAATCAGCTTCAGCAACTGGTGAAGGTTATTGAAAGAGTTCGAAATACCAATTTTATCAGTTAGGACTTAACTAATTTCCCCATCACACCCCATATATTGTATTAGTCTCTACCTTTCCTATCAGCACTAATACCACTTTTTATAAACTCACATTTTGTCACCAAGAAAAGTAGTAATACAATGAGTAGCCAAGATGGATAAAGAGTCAGGTAAAAAGACATACCCCAGAGATATCCACACATAGAAAACACATGCACATACATACAGACATTGCCCACATTGTATAGCACCTGTTTTTAGTATTAGCACTCAAGTGTTTCCTACAGTTGCCGGAGGCAAATTCTCCATGCTTTTAATATGCAACAGAAATTTGACTTAACACTTGAAATAGAGAACAGCACCTTATCTCTGTTATCCATTTGGAGACCTTAGTTATTTAAAAACTTTTACAGCTATATGCTTTTGTTCAAAGGGTGAACACAGGCTCCATATGTTCTTTCTGCTCCTGTGAAAAAGAAAGGAGAATGGTCTATTCAAGTCGTATTTTTGGCTGCCTCAGGGTAGAGGAAAAGGTTTAAAATGATGTGATAGAAGAATATGCACTGAATGTTCAAAGCTGCCATAATAAATTTAAGAAAATGATACTCTCTGGCATTTTTAGTTTAGCGTCACCCAGGCTGGTTTCTCTGGTAAAATAAGTATTGTGTTATTGGAAATCATCTCTATTTTGACCTGGTATCTACTAAGCGAACTGGCATGCAAGAAGAGATATTAAAACTATCGCTTGCAAAAAATGGGGAGAATAAAGCTAAAAAGTAACATGAATATTAAAGATCTCAAAGGAGGTAGCCTAGTCAAGCAGATTATACCTATGTCTTCTTTTATAGCATGAACATAGGCCCAAGTTTTATAATGAGATGACCCTGACCTGCCACTTCTCTTGCAAATGACTAGTGCCTTAATTATTTGCATCTGTGAACTCAAATGAAAATACTTAAGGATATATCAATATGCTCATAAATCATCTGCAGGCAATAAGTAGTCCAACATAGATAATTAGAGAATTTACGGAAGGCTTACTCCCTCTGTTTATCTGCTTATGACATTTGCGGTACAGCCCTAACAGCAGGATAATTACTAGATTTATTCATCAAACAAAATCACGCCTTCTGGGAATGCACAGTGACTCCAGTTTTAAGACTAATAAAGACATTTTTCACCAAAACTCAAGTACTAATTTGCTCAATAACTAGCTGCAATAAGCTTTTATGGAAGCACTCAAAGAAAAGGCTTGGCACCAGAGGGCAGATAATTAAAGGTGCAGTATCCCCATACAAAAGGCTCTGAACAATTCCCTGACCATATTAAAATTTAATTGTTGAATGTTAATTGAAAAAAATATAAGTCGCTACTGTTCTCTGTGTTTCAGTAATTATTCTTCTCAGATCAAAGACATATCTCGATGTCTAAGTAACAAAAGAAGCCTTTGCAATTCTTAAAACTGATAGATTGATTCCCAATAATAATCATAAAAAACAGGTCTTCAATAAAATAAGTAGAAATATGTCAGCTTTATCAAAAAAGGAATCAAGGACCTGTGCTATGAATTCGTCTAAGCACTGGTATATTCTTTATGAAATTAAAGATAAGGAATTACTTGGCATTTAAAAATGACAAATCAGCATATGAAAAAGTGTATAAGAATCTTTTATTTTATTTTATTTTATTTAGGCTCAATATAAAATCTTAATCTGCACATTTCAAAAAAGTTTGAGCCAGCTGTAGAAACTAAATCTTTAAGTAATTTTTTTCCCTGACAAAGCATTCTTCAGCTTTCCTATTTTTCACAGCTTCTCTGAACCTCTACAACTTGAGCTCAAAACCTTAGGTTCTCTGGACGAGATGTGTGACCCTTAAATACAGAGAGACTTAATGTGCAAGTTCAATAACTCCCTGTTCTAGTCTCTGAAAAAGCTATAAGGTGTTCTTCTAAGTATCTGCCACAATAGAAGTCAGGCAAAAGAAATATACATTATGCATAGGTGTTATTCTCCAAACTTTAGCACCTGGGAGGGTTTGGGTATTCCCCCAGATGCTAAGCTTTTACTGTGCCAGAACTCTGCAGGCCCTTAGGCTCACTCTTTGCTGCAGAGAAATGATGAACTACACAAAATGCAGACTTTTAAACTCATATTTAATTGTTTAATGTCATGGCTCTTGGTAGAGCATTGTTGCTTGAAAAATAAATTGGGTAATTCAATTAAATGGCTACAGAAGATACATCATATCAGATGTAGAAAGGCACTAACCCCAGCTTGAACTTGACGTCCCACATCGCTTCACTTATTTGACAAATGGATTCTTGAAAATAATTGAAACACATGGCTGCCAGCATAGGTCAATAATACTTTTTTGCCATTCAGCCTCTTAACAGCTTCCATTTTTTCTTGCACTGTGCCATTCAGGGCAAAGATTGCATTTGCCTGGTAAATCATGCAAGCATTATTACTAAAATGGGACTAAATGCAATGAAAATGGACTACATAAAAGTAATGGCACTTAAGTAAAAGGAAGACCATCTACTAGGGCAAACACTAAATGTCAGAGTTAAATACTATATGACATTACCTCCATTACAAGCTCATATTATGCATGTAAGAAAGCAGACGTACTAACTACACACACACACACACACACACACACACACGCACACACACTTGCAGTTAACCTAACCGATGTTTACAGCTGTGAAACAGCTGTAATGAAGGAAGATTTCAAATGTTCCTCAGCATGATACATTAAGCATATTTTCTCTATTTTGCTTTTATTGAAAAATGAAGATACGGAAATATAATATGCTATAGAAAAAAGAGAGAACAATTCCGTCCATCCACCTCCCTTCTGATATCAATGTACACTATGTTGCAATGGTATAACCACCACAGTTAACAGCAGACAGCATTTTTATAGCTGTTTAGGACATTCTTTGGATTATCAGATGGTGGAAAGATTAATAAAAAGATATGAAGCTTCAATAAACATTTATTGGAGCTGGGAAGAAATTAGATAACCCCTAGAGCTCCAGGAATTATGGTTGTTTTATATATGTTTATACACATCAACCAGGGAATTCCTTCCAGGTGTCAAAGTAATTATTAAATTATAGGCAGTTATCAAGTGGAACCTCTGCAGTCCATTATATAATGTCATATGAATCTTAAGTGAGTTATGTATCCAAACAAAAACTAGCTATATCTTATCATGAACTACAGTAAACTGTCAACTGCATATGTTTCCATGTTTGTCTGTCTCTCTCACTCTCATATTGTATTAGTAAATCTGTTCTAATCATTCAGACCTTCAAGAGTTGATCAGGACAGAGTTGGTCTTGACAACTCCAGGCACAATAATTCTGCTAAAAGGGAAATAATACAAAGACAAAGGAAGGAACACAAACCAATTTTAAATAGAAGCTCTTTAAGTAAACCACAAAAACACCTCCCTCTAACCCCCAAAACACAATCCCCTGCCCACCCACCCAAAAAATCCAACAAACAACAACAACAAAAACCCCAACACAGTCCTTTTTCTGTTTGGGTTACAGTACATATATCCAAAACCAGATAACACTTTGGAGCTGTTCTAAAACATTTGTCATTCACTTTCTTTATAAATGATCTTCAAAACTTCCAAAGATATAGAGTAAAATCTAGGGTATACGGAAGAAATGCCAAAATGCTCCCTGATTTCAAAGGGACCACCATTTTACCCAGACTATGGATACTTAACCACCATTTATCTAAACATACCTATGCTGAAGTTTATTTTATTTTTTCCCATCCATTCTTTTCTGTGTCCTTATTGTATCTTCCTTCTTTCAAGTTTAAAAATATCCTTACCCGGTTTTGTATTTTTCTCACAGATAAAAACTTGAAAATCCTACATCAGATTTTGGGCAGGATATCAACAATTTAAAATATTAATTCAATAAACAATAATGTACAAACAACTCTGATTAATATCCTTAGGACCCAGAGGGAGCATCTACAGGTGCACTTTACTGTACAGTAGACTAATTTACTGTGCAGCAAAGCATCACTGTCTACATACATGCAGCAATTGGGCCAGCATAGACTAATTTACAGTGCCAACAGATACTCCCATCAGACACAGGTACTATCCAACGGTGAAGTAAATTACTGTGCTTAAATACACATGCAGGCTCAAATTGCACTGGAGGTTATTCAGTAGCATTAGTTGTATGTGTAGACACATCCAGGGAGTCCCATTCTTTTACTAGCTCCCATCTCTGTGATCCATAAATCAAGTATTTAATATTTTGTACATTTCTGTCACTCACTCCAGTCATAACCCATAGGTATGGTTAAAACAGCAGTTTTAGATCCTAGACATTGAACAAATGCCACTGGTATAGTAGAAAATAATTTAAACAAAAGAAAGCCCTACAAAGATTGCACCATAACGAACAGTACAGAATTATATTCAAGAATTCACCTCATAGGGATTCAGGTAAGCAGAGCTTAGAAGAGTAACTGTTGATTTCAAACAATATTTTAACAAGCTCATTAATTATTAAAGATGTGTAGAGAATGATAAAGCCAGCTGCAACATATTCTTCTGAACATACTGTCACAATCCTAGTTCTTTTTTATATTTAATTTGCTGTACTTATACATTGCAAATCCATTCAATAACACATTTGTTTATTGACTGATCAAAATCTGTGCAGTAATAGCTATTTATTTATGTATATATCACCCAGGATAACACCTTTACCATTATAAATGTTAGTACCCTCTTAGAGGCCCTTACTTTAGAGCAGCAGCTGCCAATTTTTTCCT